GAAGCAGCTGGAAGTTGCAGGGAAGAATTCTGGAGGAGATGCTGCTATAAGGAAAAAGATTTCCAGAAATTTGCATAGAGGTCCCTTTGAGTCTTTACTGAATGCTAGGATGTACATGTGTCGGGTGAAAATCCACAAGGGCATGTAAAGAACAACTGGAGAACAAGTTCTGAATGGGGTGTTTCATAGTGACCCCAGAAGGGCCATGCCTTAGCAATAGGACTGAGCTACCCCTGAAGAAAGGGCTTCTCTAGACCCACCAAAATGAAGCTTAAAAACAAGCCTCGAAAGAATGAAGCTGAACTCATAAGTAGTGTTACCTGCTAGAACAAAGCTCATTACTCATTAAAGGAAGGCAATAAAAGCCAGACTCTCAAATTCACAAAGTCTGGCATTCCATCAAAAATTAGTAAACAAGGGCCGGTCCATGGCTCACTTGGGAGAGTGCGGTGCTGACAACACCAAGGACATGGGTTCGGATCCTGTATAGGGATGGCTGGTTCGCTCACTAGTTGAGAGTGGTGCTGACAACATCAAGCCAAGGGTTAAGATCCTCTTACCAGTCATCTTTAAAAAAAAAAAATTAGTAAACAAATGAAGAAGTAGGAAAATGAGACCCATAACCAGGAGAAAAATCAGTAAATAAAACAGACCAATAAATGACAGAGATGATGGCACCAGCAGTCAAGGACATTAAAACAGCTATTAAAACTATGTCAAAGAATTTAAAGAAAAACATAAACCTAATAAGTGGAGAAATAGAAGATATAAAAAGAACCAGTATAACTTCTAGAAATTAAAAATAAAATAAAATGTAATATCTAATATCTAATAAAATGAAAAATTCCCCAGATGAGATTAACAGCAGATTAGATACTACAGAAGGAAAGATCAACTTTTCTCAGGGATCAAAGGCCTGTGCTACGTTTTATTTAAGGTTTGAAAACAGTTGTTTTATATGTCTTGTCCAATTATCTAGTTGTTTACAGTGGGAGGGTAAATTGGGTCCTTGTTACTCCATCATGGCTGGAAGTAAATTATCTACTGAATTTTATGTTTCAATTATTTTATTTCAAGAAGTTCTGTTTAGTTTTTTTTTTAATCTTCATAGTCAATTTATAGTTTCTTGTTCCCTGCAAATATTTTCAAATTTGTCTTCCATTTCTTAAATATAGTAAAAATAATTCTGTTATAGTCTTTGATAATTCTAATATTTGGAAGTAGGTCTGTTTTCACTGTGCTGTTTCTGATGGGTATTGCTCATAGTGTGTGTTTTT